CAAAACGGACCAGAGGTGTCCTTACACAACACTGTTAGTATCTACATAAATTAAATTCTTATATGAACACGTTACGTGTACACACTAGACTCATTGGTGAGCAACTACGGGCAAGCATTTATAAACATGTACGAGTAGATTCCAATGCCGCAAGACAAGCTTACTTTACTACTGACACTAGTACAAGTAGATTTTTTGACATACTTATATTTCCATCCAGTAGCAAAAAGACCGCTGACAGACCGCAAAGTGTTGTTATAATTAAAACATATCATAAACAACATACATATGTGTTAATGTTGTAAAGCCGAGTGTTTATGATACTAACGCTTTTTCATCGGTTCTGGGAGCTGCTGACGTCAAACCTCTGTCAACATTAACTGGGTCAGTAAATAAGGATGAATTACATTTGGAGCAGCCGAAATCATTTCATTATACTACTGAACGCCGTAGATAATATTTTATGTCTATAGAAGATGCTAATCTTCAAAACCATTTAGTCGCATTCAAAATATTAATAAAATAAACTTAAGTAATGCAGATGTATTGATTTTATGAACGTGTATATTGCTTTTACATATAAACAAACTGATCATTTTAAAGCAGGTTTACGAGTAATTGTAATTTTAAATTCATAATCTACAATTTAAGGGTGCCTTCTTTTACTAATATTATTTCTTTAAAATTGTCATTTAAAGCAAGTCAACGGCAAAGAATGAGGTAGGTACACATATTCATCATAATGAGTTTAACATAGAAATGTGATGATAATATCCTTGTGCTGATTGCAGACGGCTGAGCAATGCATAAAATCCATGTATGGTGTTGCGGCGTCGAGCGCAGGCCGAGGCGAGGGCGCCCGGCAACAGGTCCGACGATCAATACAAAGTCGCGCCGCCGCACGCCGCTCAGCCGCGCCGAGCCCTTACGATAGCTACGCGCTACAAACCGGCAACCGCCGCGACTGACGCGTCTGCTAACTCCCATTTAACAAGATGACGATTTCTCGTCACACGCACTATTTTGCACAGCTCTAAATGCATGCTATTTATTTATCATGACCATGACAAGAACGGATGAAAACGCACCCGAAATTACAAATACAAATTATTTTCTATGGTTCAATTAGAAAAACATCAAGAGGTTTAAACTCGTTCCTTTACATGCAGACCTCTACGCCTTCGCAACACGAAACATATATCAGTAGATCCAACATGAGACGAACAAGTAGAAATCAACCCTCCGACTTTCTACTTGGGGGTGAATAATTATAAATTGTAACTTGGAAGCACACGGTAGTTACTGTGTAACAATATTAACAAATGTCACCAGTGGCACATTACCATATTACCCTGGATATTCGTCGATAGTGGCGCTGTTTCCGTAATTAGCGTCAACGTCATGAGATCGGATCATAAATCCGTCGCCACTAGTTCCTCGCACCACTCGCTACAGGCGATGTGGGCGGTGCTTGTAATACTCGCAAACTCATGATATAATTTCAATTGCTTTACTAACATGCGCATTAACTTATAACAATATTTGGAGTGGACGTGGTTCCTGGGCCCATTGCTGAGTGGCTTAGTTTCGCTCTTAATAGCAAACACATTTTGTTTATGAAATTATGAAGTGAACACACAAACAAGAACAAGGCAAGGCAACAACACAGAACCAATACACAAGAATTGTCGAAAAGTCGAAGAATATTTTTTTTTTAAAGAGTGGAAATAGACTACTGTTTGTCCTCACTATTATTTTAATCCGTTGACTATGATATTCTTACCATAAACATTGAATCTGTTTTAATATTAACAGAACAAACCATTTGTCTAGCTCACTTATTATGGGTGGGGTAATTAGCAAAACAAACTACAATTAATATCAATAATGTTCAATTGTAATCTAATTCATTTTATAAGCACTCTGGCTTATAACATTACTAGTACTACTAAAACATTCTCATAACATTACTAGAAAATGTAAAAAATATATATAGATTTAAATAAACATTATTTTTATGATAAGACGTTTTCAAGATTACATGTTTCGAAGGATATGTTAGAAAATTATTTTAATACATAGATGTTCATCGTCAGCTGAGTCAACGGCCGTAATAAACAGACGGCAGATTGGCAAAGTCATATTTATTTGTATGTTATCTATACTAATATTATAAAGAGGAAAGATTTTTTTTTATTGGTTTGTTTGTATCGAATAGGCTCTAAAACTTCTAGACCGATTTTAACCATTTCTCCAATAATAGTAAGCTACATTATCAGGAAGTAGCATAGGCTATAATTTATTTCTAAACAACTTAGACATGTGCAAAAAACAGGTTATATTAAACGAAGGTGTAAAAACTCGTCTCAAAAATTTCCTTTCTTCGCGTGCGCTGCTTAAATGGTTAAAGATAAGACGAAATAATGTGCTAATGAATTGTAGAACTAAAAAAGATCTACAAAAAAGTTAGTGAGGGGATATATCTATCTATAACAGCTAAGCTATAAAAACCGTTTTTATATTTTTTAAATTATTAAATATCCACTACATACTTCAGATGCATTTTTTTGTATGATTATGTAAATCCTTATGAAATTAAATTATTACATCATCGAGATAATTTTAAGTATACATCACTAAAATTGGTCAATTCGTTAAACAGATATCATTTAATTCTGAACATTTCATTTCGAATTTTCCTTCTTTCTAGAGTGGGCGTTGCCGAGGTCCGGGAGAGAGGGGTTAGGTATGTTGTAAATAGGTGGCGACTTCTGTACTGTTAGGCTTTGCACAAAGTTCACGCGGGCGAAGCCGCGTGGGGTAATCTAGTTTATTAATATATATTTAAGTCGTCCATTAACTGTCAAGAGTAAAATTTATCCTGTATCAAATATAAATGTTGAGCATTGAGCAATGGCAAACAGTAGTATTATTGCTGTAATGTATCGACAATGTGGAAAATGAAAAGATGCAATTTTTCGCCTATTGAATATCTAAGTTGCGGGAGCTACGACGACGGTAAATATGTATGATTGAGCAAATTATGGTTATGTACCTTTACGTGTACATAAACAAATAAAAATTTGTAATATTGATGGTATGAACACAGGCTCATAAACTAGCTTAAATTAATATAAACCTACATATAAATTTAAGCCTACTTTCGCCACACTATCTAATTGTGAAAGAAATAACATCACATTTTTTACTTATTACATAGACATTTTTCGACAAAAATCTGTTGGTGAACTACTTTTCGCAACAAATTGATGCTACATTTTTACGTTAAGACATGCTGCGTGAGATCAGCATAATTACGATTCGTAAATTCATCTATAAATCGGATTTTCTTATGACATAACCCAGCAATATAAAAATCAGAATATCAGTAGTTTATAATGAGGCTTTTTTCTTCGACTGGTGTGTGGCATACAGAAAGGAACATTGAACCGTTCCCTCACAAAGCGTTCCTTGTCCTGTTGGAAGAGCATCCGCCGACCGCGATTCAATCATACAAAATGACTATCCATATCGTGTTACTGACGTAATGATTACGGATTTCTGATGAATGAACTAACACCATGCTTTGAAGGGTAAGGCAGTTCTCTTGGTTACCAATGTTTGCTATATCTATTATGTGTCTTTGTGACAGCAGTATTTATTTATTTATTTAAAACTTAATGCACATGTAGTATGTTGTACAAAGGCGGACTTACTACCATTAGGCATTCTCTCCCAGTCAACCTTCAGGTGATGTAGAAATATGATGCGGTAGGTGCAAATTAAAATATTAAATTTAACATAATTGAAGACCAGAGACATACACATTTAGATGATGTGATTCCGGAACAAATACAAATGTATGTATGTTCGCAGGGACCGGATGAATCAATCGGCGCAGGCGCTCCCTGCTTCCACCGAGGGATTGTCAATTGAAAACATGACGACACGATTTAATACATGAACATCTAATGCAATGATTAAAATTTAGAATTGCCACAATATGTTAGATATATACTACTAATAAAGTTATTAGGTATCAGGCACTTATTACATGCGTAAGGAGTAGTGTAGTTACTTCACTAAACATTTAGATAGTATTTCACGCGTATTTCTAAATACTACACATACAAAGGTGCAGGGAAACAGTTTACGAAATAGTTGCAGATTCAGTTAGCCCTATTCAAGCGATGACTTGCATTTTCCTTTCTAACACGTATCCGCTAAAAGATGTCCTAACATAAGTTACGTAAGTTAAAATAAGTTTTTCGTCCGCGATACTACACCATTGGTTACTTTACTTTTCGTGTTCTATTATTTCAAGAAAGATAATGTTTTTGACCAAACAAAAAAAAAACACATTTTTATGCTAATACTTCTGATAAAAGTAAATTAAACTTCATCGTAAGACTAACTTCTGTTACTTTATAAAAACTAGGAATGAATTTAAAACTTACCCAGATAACTTATTAATACGTGAAATAATGCATTGCACTCACTTCCAAACAAAATTTTATTATTTTGAAATTTATGAAAACATTATTTAAAAATATGTAAACCATTGCACAAGTCCAGTGTTTTTGTCGTGTCATTTCTTCTGGAAATGAATAGGTTAATATAAATCAAAGCGTTTTCTTATTTCTTTCCCATGGTGAATCATTTATGTGGGTATGTCGGCACTTGTAAATTTGTTTAGCTAAATGATATGCAGCGAATTTAGAATATTTACGTGAAAAATTTATAAAGAAAAGAAAATAACCTTTAAGCAATTGGTGAAATTTATTATTGATTAACGATTATTGTAATACGTCGTAATTGTATCTACATCGACAGAGATTCTGCACTCTTTGTACGCATGCGTGTGTACTGCGCCAGCCCGTGCCGGATGCCTCGTATTACAACATCAGCCTAGCTGAAAACGTAATACTTTGGGTAACCCCCCACTGCACCCGGTATTGTGATTGAGGGTTTGAAGCTTGGCCATTGATAAGTCGGTAGCGATGAGTAGCGCGCGGTGTTACACTTATATGCCGGGACCACGGCCCCTTCCTGTAATCGGAAACTCGTGGCGATTTGCTATCGGTAAAAATCCGTGGAGAACACGTGCTTTGGATGTGACGTTGTGGTTCCTCAGAGCCTGGGCTGGCACTGGAGGAGCAGTTAAAGTGGCGAAGTTGTTTGGGCACCCTGATTTAGTGTTTCCGTTCTCTGCTGATGAAACAGCGAAGATTTACAGACGAGAAGATGCGATGCCACATAGAGCCAAAGCGCCATGTCTCAGCCATTATAAGCAAGAGTTGCGGAAGAATTTTTTTGGTGAGGAGCCCGGACTTATAGGAGTGTAAGCAAAATAATATAACTATTTAGTTATGTCAATGTATCAAAATATTAAATTAATTATATTATATTTTTACTGTAGACATGGTGTACCTTGGTCTAGATTTAGATCAAAAGTCTCTAAGGCACTTATCGCACCAGAAGCATCAAGAGCTGCGGTTCCAGAACTGGATTATGTAGCTAACGATTTTGTCAGCAGGTAGATTCCATTTGAATACTTTTAAATATTAGCCGTGATTTTCTTAAAGTTGACTAGAATACCTATTTTATATTAAAGTTTCCTTGTCTACAATATTATAGTATAGCAACAACTTGAAACATCTTACACACACTCATCTGACACCAAAATAGCCTGGATGTGGACTATGGTACTATACTATAAAAATACATATTTTCTAAAGACATACATAATTATGTAAAAACCAGACAGTACAAATGATTGTGTTTATGCCACAATATTTCTCGTGGTTTGAGTGAGAATTGAACCCACGACCTCTCACTTAGTAGTCAGTATCGCCAGTAATAAGTTAAAAAAAAGATCATAACTATTAATAGCTTCCGTTGTTACATGGATGTGTATCTTGATATGCCCTAGTTTTTATAATAAGCTAACTGCATTATTGTCTTCTGAATACTTTCCTTAACTGTCTTAATAATACACTTCTTTACAAATATGACATACATACTTCTTTAAACCCGACAGCCAATTTTGTGGTCTACTACTTTGTGTGCCTACTGATTTAAGTGTTGAATCTCGGTTTAATGACCACATCCCGTTTCTAACAACGGTGTCTGCGCATTTGTTTTAAGTAACGAGTACTAACTGAATGTTGGTAACAACTAAAATCAGACCACAGTATTTGAGACTTGGCACATTCCTAAGTATCTTATCCCATGTATTACGAAATTAAAAATTATTATTATTATTTATGAAATTGAAAAAAAAAAACTACTTGTGTTGTCTGGTCTGTAACAATACCATTTGCATACATATTTTTTTGGTTTGATTTTACAGAATGGAATGCATTCTTGACAGTAATCGTGAACTGCCAAAAGATTTTCTCACGGAACTCTACAAATGGGCCCTTGAGTGTAAGTGTTACTTGACGTGCGGCAAAGGCAAACACTTTGTGCTTTTCTGTAGAACAAAGTTGCACCATGAGAAATTTTGTTGCTTAAGGATTTTTTTGATTTTAGCCGTAGGCGCCTGGGCGTTAGGAACTAGATTGGGATGCTTGAAAGAAAACGATGCTGACGCCAAAGATATCATCAAGTGCATACACGGTTTCTTCCACAGTGTTCCTATTCTTGAGCTTTCTGCACCACTATGGAGATTATATTCTACTCCTACTTATAAAACATACATTGAAGCATTAGATGCCTTTAGAACACTTTGTTTAAAGAGACTGACTGATAAAGGAATTTGTGCAGAGATAGCTAAAACCTATGGAGAAAAGGTGGCTGCTATTTTGGCATTGGATCTGCTGCTTGTCGGTGTAGATACAACGGCAGCTGCTGCGGCGAGCACTATGTATTTCCTAGCAAATAACGACCGAGCACAGAGAAAACTACAAAAGGAGTTGGACAAAAACGTTCCGCAAGCCAAAATAATGGATTGTAAGGATCTCGATAGGTTGCCCTATCTCAAAGCATGTATAAAGGAATCATTACGGTGAGTTTAAAATATTAAATTTCTTTTCTTTCAATCTAATGTCATGAAAAATTCTGATATATATTTAATTACTGCGTAACTTACGCTGTCAATATACATAGTATCGTTAAATATAAAGCACCATTCAAATAAGCCGAGGAAGTCTTTTGTAAAATCATTATTCATCTATATTCAGACTTTGAGCCCTACATTATTCAGGTCGTTTCGTGGAATGTTTTATGAAATATTCTATACAGAAAACCTGTTCTCTTAATTTTGCACATTAAAGCAATGCACGCATACTTTTATCTAGGTTAAGTATATATTTAATTTTAAAACATATTTGTATGAGAGGTAGGTGTCGAACACACCTTTATATACAAATGTACGTAATTAATTGTTAACTTAAGACAGTCCCACGGTTTACTTGTTAATTGACATTTGTAGGATACGACGGATAGGATGTCTCTTTGATGGCAATGTTAGACAACTCTCACAAATTGATACTTTTTGGTATGAGGGTAAATCCATGTTTATTACTGTAGCAGAGGTTGTGTCATGTAACGTGTTATGCTTAGACATAACTGGATACGTTCCTTATGCTACACGCGTACCGCTCTACATGCACTGATTAGTGCAGTTCGTCCATCCATTACTGAAATGTACAATTTTGTTTTTACAATTTCACTAAGTCATGTTTAAGGTTTACGTATTCATGTAATACATAGAAACTAAAGTTTTATTTATACAACGTTTTTTTCACACTTAAAAGTAGGTTGTACACATATAATATTTACCAATTTTAAAAAGTGTTTTGTTTAAAACGTTTATTATATCATCAACTGATATGGACGAGATTTGTATTTCTTGCTTTTTTAGCTTTTCTATGAGGATACACGATCTTAATTTGTTGTTATTTTCACAGAATCAAACCAGTGATTTTGGGGAACGGACGATGCATACAATCAGATACAGTAATATCTGGATACGATGTGCCGAAAGGTGTAAGTGTCAATCATTTAAATACCGTAAAGTATTTTACACTAAGCCTACATCACACCATTTAAGATTTGTTTTAACTTTTTTAGTGCATTTAAATAAATTCTAGTTTTTTAAATTTTATTGCAGTTTATTTTGTTTCAGTCCCACGTAGTTTTTCCTCACTATATTCTGTCTAATGAGGAAAGATACTTCCCATCACCTAAGGAGTACGTGCCAGAGCGATGGTTGCGGACTCAGGATGTAAGCGAAGCAATGGAGTGTCCCTTGGGACACGACCGTAAGATAGCAGACGTGTGGCGCAAACAGAAGGAAACAGGGATCCACCCATTCGCTTCTCTTCCTTTCGGTTTTGGACGTCGCATGTGTATAGGAAAGAGATTCGCTGAAGCGGAACTACAGCTTTTGCTCGCTAAGGTACACACAATAATGTATCATGTCATTTAATGATTCTAAAACCATTACATATACTTAATTATTTTTACGCTAAACTAAGACGCAGGGTTTAACCACCATTTGTTACAAGTTATGCGTTTAGTAATGAGTATTGTTGGTATACGTAAATATACATAGGCACCCATGAAGGCAAAAGAAATGTTTTGCCTTCATGTTAAATATCATGTTCAAACTGTTAGAAATCATGTTGGAAACCACCGAGCAAATCATGATAGAAAACATGATTTGCTCCATAACATAAAAACAATTCAGATCAGACTTGAGTGATTTACATAAGTTACCTTGCGTGACCGTTAAATTCATTCATATGATGACTAATGTAATGTGTTATTTTAACCAGATATTCCACCGTTATGACGTGACGTGGCGGTATGGCGAACTAACCTACAGCGTGACGCCCACATATGTGCCAAACGAGCCGTTGCGGTTTACTCTACATCACAGAAATAAAAGAAGCAACAAATAAGGTTTCAAGGTCCAATGATATCAATTGAAATTAGAAATCAGGCACCACATGGATGTCCCTATATTACAATATGTGAATAACAACGAGAGTTATACATTATCTTTAATATAAAATGATGATGGTGATGATTAAAACATTTCACCATGTAAGGTCCTTTATCAAACGTTTAGTTATGAGCTGTTAATATTTTAAACTTTTAAAATCATTTATAAAAATGTGTATTTATACGTTCCTCTGTAAATGCCAGTTTCTTATAATTCTATTTTAAGTTTAGATAAAAATGTGGTGTTATGTTAACACAAAATTAGATCAGCATTTTTCATCTATTGTTTTAATATAAACACTGCCTATTGTTTAAGCATATTTTATAAAACCGACCAAGCGCGAGTCGGATTCGTGTGCGAAGGTATCTTTCTGTACCAACGATTTTTACTTTTAAATTTTTGTAAAAAAAAGACACTGTTTTATATCATCCTTAAAATTTCATATATTCATAAGTGAACCTAAGTAACATACCTCAGGTTAAAGAACCAACGAAAAAACAACTCTTTAATCCCATCCCATAATAATTAAAGGATTTTTAATTGAGTTATTTTTAAATTTATTAGGGCAATAGAAATACAATTGTGTAAAGACTGTCTTAGTTATTATGGTACACGAGAGACAGAGAGAGACGTTAAAAAATGTTGTAAATTTGTTCTTTCACTAGTAGGTAATAGAACGGACTGCCGGAAAGCGGGGACTTAGTAATAGGGTGACCCTAGGAAAGATATTACATTTAGTATTTTACTTTATTTTATCTATGTCTACGTTGTTTTTACGTGTCTACCTAGCTCCTGCCTAAGCTTTCTGAAAGGAAATGACAAATAGAAATCTGAGGCGCATCCTGATGTGAGAAAAGGAAGGAAGGAAGGATCATATGCGTAATGAAGAAGAACTGTCGACGTACAAAGGGCATGTTTTATAAAAGGTGTACTTACTATTTGGCGGAGTCATTGAGTTGGTACTCATTAGAGCGGCCAAAACACTCCTGGACACCGGAGTCGGCCCAAAGTCTTTTCATTGCCGCCAGCAACTCCTCGCTGAACGGTTCCGTGTCCTCCATCCGCTGGATCACGTCAAATACCATCTTGCCATCGCTCTGCAACAAGATATGATAGTTAAATACAATTATATTACTTAATTATGCTAAATTTGATGTTTAATTTGTACCATGACAAAAGTTAGTATTAAGTTCGATTACGAATATTATACTACCGATGGTGAATGAAGAAATTCGATTGGTGATTGTATTTGATTTCATCACATCACATCATTGTCATCAACAGCCTTTAATAGTCCACTGCTGGACATAAGCTTCTCCTTAGAAAGGGGAGGTTTAATTTAAATTTGATATTAAGTCAGATATACACAAGAAAGTAAAATCTGATTTCCATAACAAGCTTATATTATGTTAGTAGTCAGAACCATAAGTTGATGAATATGATACGCCCTTTGTTACTTTGATTACTACATTCCATTTTTATTACCAAGTAGGCTTCGTGTTACCATAATGTTGTATTGTGCATACAAGTTTGTATGTACACATGTTTTTTTCATAGAATAAACCTTCTTTCTAAGGAGAGGCCTATGTCCAGCGGTGGGCTATTAAAGGCTGTTGATGTGAAACTGGACTAAACATTTATTCCCCTTACTTATCTCAAGTTATTGGGTCTTGGGTATTAAAGGGTGACAACTCATTTGTGTCACCTGAGTTGCACGCCTCCATGGGCGGCGGTAATCACTTACCATCAGGTGACCCGTCTGTTTGTTTGTCCTCTATACCATTGAAAAAATATATAAGAATATCGATCAGAAATTTCGTAGATAAATTCAAGAATAACAAACCATCGAACCTTAAATAACAGACAACTTATTCACTTTCGTACTGATTTGTTTAAAACGGTCATTCGAGCAATAGGTACGCATGATTTCAGGCTAATAATAACTATATTATTGGCAAAATAACATTTGAATAAGTGATTGAAAGAAAGGTTTTACAAAGGTCACCATTCCAAATTCATTAACGTTCACTGAACCTTTAGGCCAGGGATTCCCAAACTATTTTGAAAAAATGAACTGATACGTCACAAAACCAAAGCCAAATTACTGCACGCTTCACGACTTGTTGAGTTTTTTTAAAGTACAACAATGATACTTCCTACTAAACTACTATTAGTTATTATTATAAAAAGTCGGTACACGTAACACATGCAGTATCTTAAAAGTTTCAAATAAGAAATTGTGTTAATAAATACGTCTTCGACCCCCAAAATAAGTTTTCGTCGACCCCTGGGGAACCGATTTCGACCCCGACGGGACGATATCGACCACTTTGGAAATCCCTGCTCTAGGCATTGTCCATCTTCCACTAAGGTCAATCAATAATTATTTATATAATTTAAAGGTCACGCAGTCTACGCAGTTACAACTGCGACCTCTGTCCTGGTTTACTAAGCAAGTCACAACATAAATGGATGGGTGCCACCTATAAGTGTGCTCGTTAGGAACTAACGTGTCATGATGAATTTTATGTTAATCTGAGTTATTATGTAAACTGACTGATTTTGAATCTTAGAACGTAATTGTAATGGATTTCTAATAATGGATTCTTCAGATAATCTATACAAATAAATAAACTTGATGAGTCTGTTTGTAATCGGTTATTTCCACGATACCTATGCCAAAAACCATTATTAACATTTTTTTGTCTGTCTGTCTGTTCGGGTAATCTTCTAAACCACTGGACCTAGGCTATTTTTTTCTTCTCAGAAAAACCCTTTAAAATTTTGCCCGGTCCGGGCCTCGAACCCACTAAGGCAGTGCTTTTCAAATTCCACGCGACCAGGGGTACCAGCTAGTTTATTATATTTAGAAAAAAATCGAATTGTAGAAGGTCAGAACTACACCGTACCACGAATTACTACACCGTTGTTTTTGTAAAGAGGTTTTCTTGATAGACAGATAAATAACCACTTTATGGTACAAAAACCATAAATGATACAAAACGATACACTCAACATATAACGATACCTTATTTAGAGATTTTGTATAAGTGGCAATCTTATGGACTGGTGCGATTTCTTCAAGATGAAGAGTTTTTAGTTAAAGAGACTTTCAAGCGATTTTATCTAAAGAGAATTTATGCATGGGGATAAGTAGTTTTTTTTTTTCAAATTTAATTACGTACACATTCTATATGCATACGAAAACATAGGTGTACAGACAACCCAGGTAGTGACTTTATTGTTATTCTAAAATTAGGAGGTTTTCTGCGAATGTTTTGCTATCGTCATTGGCAGTATTTTCTACAGACGGTTGCATGAACAAAGTGGAGGAGGAAGGAGAGTTGGTGACAGGATATGAATATTCCGGCGAAGGAAAATGGTAGCCAGTAAGCTTACTTTGATATTCAGAAACGTGGCGTGGTTAGACCCATCAATGATCTGGAAAATGGATCTTTTAGGAAAGAACGTCAATTTTTTCTTAATTCAAAGTTTTTATAAGTTACCTTGCCGATTAGAGGAAAGCAGCACACAAAATGTGGATGACTGTAGAACTTCAAAGGCATCACTATCTCCTACAAATAACTAAAAGGGCCATTCGCGCTTCCAGTGTAGGTGGACTAAGGAGAGTTTTTTTTCAGGACGCCTCTGATCAGAAAAAAGAGTCAGAAAAGAAAGTGTCCTTTCTTGGACATATCAGAAATGAGAAAATTACACATTTCACATTTGTTGGCAAAAAAAACACTGATCATTTACAGTTTAAATGAGCAGAAAAAAAAACAGTATACCTATAGTATTACTCGTATTTTAATGTAGTGTATAGGATAGGTAATTCTCTGTGCCCTACCCCGTGTTCTGAAATTTAATGATACTATACTAATGTTATTGCTCAACTAGGACATCTAATAGAGGAGTGCTGTTCGTTATAACAATTCATGTCGGAGCGCAATTTCTTCTCAATAAGAGTTTAGTGACCCAGCATGTTCGGCACATACGTTAATCCGATTATTAATCCATTTAGCGAGTCCGTCTCGGAGAACGGTACGTTTTTCTTACGCAAGTCACACGCGAAAGAATCCCCAAAACTAATAAAAACCTTCAAAAGTTAAAACGGTTTTTACCGGGGTGTGCATCCGGTTCCATAAAATGTATTTTTTTTAATTATATACTAAATTTTGAAGTGAGAATTTCCAAAATGTTTAAAAGTTATTTATTTTAGCAGCATTGCAACAGAAAATGTCATGCTTCGAAATAAATAATCATGCGGGTGGTGTTAGTGGCTGCAGAGGTTTTTTTAAAGTATGTTCTAATTACGTCGGGTGTTGGTTCTAACAGGGCGCATGCGCCGCGCCAACCGCACATGAGCACTGCTGCCCGGGTCATTCAGAACCTCATCTTACTTTAAATGTTGCTAACACATAACATATTTATTTAGAAAAAAAAACACCGAAGTTTAACGATTACATTGCGGTAAAACTGGCAAATTTTCTTCCTTTAATTTTTAGTCATATCGCTGATAGAAACGTAGATATGGAGATATTACGTACAATGACATCACTGATTAAAATGGAATGAAATAACCTCGCATGATACGTGCATGTACTTAGTTTTTGTTTCAACACGCTTGTACCTACCGGATAGGGCTGTCACGATGCCAGACCAACGCTCCGCTTTTATAATGTCCTCCATTGTGATAAAGAGATAGGTACACAAGGTTACCCTGATGACATCTGTACTGTAGCGACCCAGCGTATCGTCGATCTCATTATGTAAACCATTATCAGAACAGTAGAAAGAAACTGCGTCACGTCGAGGGAATGAATAACAATTGATCGATTGTTCAGACATTATTTCTGATTTGTTAAGTCCGACAGTGAACGTGTTTATATAAAATGGATAACATGTCGATACCAGTTTTAACTCGCTAAGTGTGGGACAAATGGGAAACCAATGGAGAGACTGCATCATGCCACTTTAAAGGCTTCCCTCAGTTAAAAATCCTTTTATTTTTCGGAAGCTCTATTTATGAAGATATAAAGTTATTGTATTCTCTTCACATATCGAAAATACTTGTCAGTAAAAACGATTCCTCATCTTTTGGCAACACTCATTAAGATTTAATAGCAACATTAGTTGGTGTAAATAGGCAAGGCATTTAAATTATTTTGTTTAAATTCTGATAGGCGCTATGCTAATTACTTCTTTCTTTCACATTATAGATAAATATTCAATTATTCGTTATAGAAACAATAAATGAAAAACAACAGAAAAAAGTAGGCTACAGTAACGAAAAGCGTTTGTTTTCTACTTCCACTGCCCAAAAATTTTCATAGGCTCACAAACGTGATCAATCTCTTAAACACTTAAGTGTATTTATATATTAATCATTAAATCGTACATCAATTTGGAATAATATTATAATATCCACCTTGTTAAAAGGTGACATTATTTATAACATTTTTTTTAAATTGATACACTTCTGCCTGGGAATACTCTACACATTGGATTTATTTGTAACTTAGTAACGTTACGCCATGCTTTACTGCTGGACTAGTGAGGTTCAAATGTTTATTGGTCATTTCATTACATGTAAGGAGTTTAAGAACCGTTTACGAGTAAGAGACGCCTAAAATGTCAAACAATATTAAGTTACAACTCTGACGACAGAATTAATTAGTTTCAGAAGAGCGTCTCATTCTCGTTGTGTAACAGAGAGGACGGAACTAAGATATCTTATCTAGCATGTCAAACAGGTACTGCAATGATAACAGCGCAGACAATGAACGATCCCTTTGAGATTTTAACATGTTTTGGTTTCATTTACAATGAATGAAATAATATATCATGTATAAAGAAACCTTATTTTTGATCTATTTTATACTGAAATGATGAAGTGCCAGCTATCACGGCTACTTAGACTTAATTTAGAAATATTTACAAAATATATATTAACAATACACGCTAATGATTAAAAACAAACAACAATGTTTTTCCAAAACGGAATTTTACAATAACGTTATGTACTTTTGATAAGTGTTCTATCTCACTGTGTTATTTAAAATTGATTTAAACAAAGAATAATGCAAAGAGCTGTTACGCAGTGGAAAGACACTTTCATGAATAAGGAATACACAATATTGATCTACATGCATCGAACCATTCACTGAGTCGAATAAGTCCTCGTAAGTAAATATTAAAGCTATTTATTTAGCGATTTAAAACCTTCCATTTCGATTGTTCGTGTTTCGCTAAAATAGGTTCTATATTTAATTATCGTTGTTAGAATAAAAATACTTTGCTAAAACAAAAGCGATCCGGTCGTTTAATTTTATTAAGGTTGCTGCTGAGTATTGAACATCAAAACATTTTACGATAACGAAATGTTTCAATAGGTATGATAATATTCTCGTTTCTCTCACAAATTGCTTCGTAATCAGCATTAGCGGCAAACGGACGATCTAAAGCAACGAAGCACCCGACGTGTGTTTCGATGCAATAGACATTTTTTTTTTGCTGACGACCACCCATTATTTATAGAACACGGCTAACACGTAATAGTAGCGGTTTATCGTTTGTGGTACGAAACGGTTGCTTTGATATTTGAATTTTACTAAATTAATGACCTACAAAAGTGAATAGACAGTTTGCCCTTGATATGGCAAAATGCTTTAAATTAACAACTCTTACCGAACTATAAAATCAAATTGATGTCTCTTGCATATATTAACGAAGAAATTACATATTTAACATTCACTCCTTGATTTTCTTCCTTTCATTATAAAATCTCCAATTCAGAAAACGAATACTTCTAGTAGGAATTTACTAAGGCTTTATTGAAAAACGTTAGAAATATGAAACGAACCTTATTTTTTTTTGGCTTTATGTCCTTTTGTCTTTTGTAAGAACTAAAATACTAAATTTATATCTTTTTCTTTATTCACATCCTTTTATTATAGTTAAACATTGGGTCAGTAGACAGATAAGAGATCGCTACTGTAAGAAGAGAAATCAGTAATTCAAAACTAGACTAAAATATGAACTTTAAAAAATGGAGTTGCTTACCTCTCGATCCCTATTGCCATAGGTGATACCCAGATTGGGCATAGCGCGCAATATGGCGACGAGCGACTGAATCGTGTTGCTGTAAACCACTGGTCGGTATTGTTTGAAGTCTTCATTTGTGAATCCACTCTCGTGGATAATTCTGTAGAATAAAAACTAGGTTTAGTATAGGTCTAAAATGTCCAACTAATAACACTTTAAACCCTATAATGACATTCACAAAATAGTTAAGTGCCAAAACATTATTCAACGAAATGCAAAATAATTATATCTTGTGACCGGACCTCTTAGCAGTCAATAAAAGGCAGATATTGTAGACATTCGTGAACACATGATCTCGGACGAAAGGAGGAGTCCCACTTCAACGTCAATGCATACGTGTCAAAATATTATGAACTAAATACTATTTTTTACACAGGGATACAGAAAGTAAGAAGGTATGGATCAAAAGGGTAATATAAAAGGTATCTAATAAAAACAAGGTAGTTGTTTCATACAAAAACGACTGTAATGACCGCAAAGCCCGCAACCAGGGAGTATCCAGTATTTTTCTATTTCTATTAAGTATTCAATTTAAAATATTCAACCAAGTGCATTTGAAATGTTTATTATGCCAAAATTTAATGCATTATATATTAGTCCAAACAATTCCTTGGAGCACTCTCCATGATATATACGATATAGTATGGAGAGTGAGGCTTCATCTCTACCTATCGCCAAAGGATCGAGCCGATCGGAGATCTTTGGGTTATCGTAGTTCTTCGTTGGATGCAATCCAGAGAGAGAGCTAGTACTGAGGTGCCCCTGCATAGAGACGAGAACAGTATTTCATATGCGTCTTATAGAGCTAAAGGCGGTGGGCCGGAGTGAAATACTGCTTAGATCACAACATGTACACCGAGCTTCTTCGAGGCCAATTTGACCTTACCCTCTAAGTGACCCCGAAACTGGACTTCGCTCGATATGTCGATGCCTACGATTCCGATACTGGCAAACGCAGTAAGGGAAGTGCTCTCAAACCGAGGTGATCCTGCAAATAGTATCTTCTTTGCGATGAATGCACAAACCTGTGTCTTTTTTGGGATAAAGTGGACTTGATTTAGTCGGCCCCAATCCGAAACCTCTGAAGGAAGTTTCAATTTCAGAGACAAGTTTTTTTCGACTCTCGATGACGTTTTCCCGAGAAATATTAGGGCGGCCGGTGTAATAATAATATGCAGAACAGTGTGGGTAGCACACAATCTTGGGGGACACCGGAATTTACGGATTTCAAATCGGCGCATGCACCGTCGACAAACGACCTTAAAGCTTCTGTCCACAAGGAAACCCAGTTACACAATTTTTCTGGAAGCCCATAGGAAGGGAGCTTCGAGAGAAGCGCCTTATGCCAGAATCGATCAAAGGCTTTCGCTTTGTCCAAGCTCACCGCACAAGCCTCTCCCTACGTCTCGATCGCCTGTACCCACTGGTGTGTTAGAAAGACGAGGTGTGATGATCTATGTGGTTGATTTTTCGTGAATTACAGATCATCTAGTCTATTAGGTTTTATAACTGGTCAGCTCAAATTCTAACTAGCCAGACACTCGGTATTCAGCAAAATATTTATCCGTTACAATTCTAATCTTAACTATCAGAACATATTTTGACAGGCAGAAGAGTTAAACACTAATTTAGTTTTTTTTTTTATAAAATTACAATTTCTGTGCTCTCACATTAGTCATGGTAAATTGTGTCCAAGATGCGATGGATGTGATGACTACTAACTTTCAATATTTATTTATTTTACATAGATTTGAACATGACTTTTGAACTTTATTAAATTGAACTTTATTTACTGTCCTTTTAACATTGTTCGATCCGAGACCTAGCTCACTAGTGTGTCATTTATAACCTATTAGCTTTTGCACGCGGCTCCGCCCGCATGTATGTCGGTTATCGCTGTTTAAAGTAATAAGGGATAATATGCCTTTATAACAGTGAAAGAATTTTCAAAATCAGATTAGTAGTACCAAAGATTACTCCGAACATGTATGTTCGGAGTAATCTTTGGTTCTCAACATAAATTTTACATCTTTATAATATTAGTATAGATTTAAACATGAAATTATTATTTTATTTTTTTTCAGTTTTTTTGTCTGGTTTCTCTGCTTTGTATTTTTTATTTGATAAATTAAGTGGTAAAATGTTCGCACTTATCAATGTCGTGTTCAATACACAAGATAATACGGGTTTATCAATCAATCAATATATTAGTTGTTGTATAGACGTTAATAGCATCAAAACCGATTAATCCACATAAATAAATATTCCATGTTAATGTACTAAAATACGTTTCCATAAACGTAATCAGTAATATCAGATATTTAGTAGTAACTAATGAATTAAAATACATTTATATCACAGAATGTATACGAATTACTATTATAGTAATGCTATATAACTTTATTAATTAACAAAATCTTCGATGTTTCATTAGAATTATTTTGAATTCTTAATTTTTCATTGTGCTAATATAAAGCTGACATAGACCAGTATTACTTATTGTGCATCGAGCTTGGCACCGACTTCAAACAGACTAGAAGGGACTATTGGTATTATAATGTTACCTGTTACATTGAGGGTACTTATCATAGTTTTTTACTTAAGATTTGTAATTATTTTTTAATTTTTAGTGCTATTTCTTTGTCGGTGTTGTTTGAAGTCGGTTCAACTTTTTTTTTAAAAGGGTTTATAATTGCAAAGCTTTTATACTTTAGATTTTATTGATATCTTAAAAAACCCCGATTTCGTCACTAATTCACTGATGATCATCAAAATTGTTTAGGTACTTGCTGAAGTCTTAGAAAGCTGAAATTTGGTATGTAAGCTAGTTTTAGTACATAAACAACAAAAAAATTATAATTAATCTTGGATGGATGGAAATTTGTATGTGACTGCCGCAATTCGCCTTCTATGTTTTGATAAAATGTCATATAACAAACACTAAAACCTACGCGCACTTGTTACTGCCTCGATGGCGTAGTGGTAGTGGCTTTTGCGACTGCTGTGCGGTCGCAGGTTCGATTCCCGAGTCGAACCAAATGTTTGTATGATCTTCAAATATTTTTTCTGAGTTTGAGTGTTTCCTATGTATTACGAGTATATGTATGTATTTACAAACAAAAATTATTCTATCAGTCAATCAACCTTCATAGTACAAGCTTTGCTTAGTTTGGAACTAAATGGCGTTGTGTATCAGATGTCCTAAATATGATTATTATTTTTAGGTATTTTTCAGATTTAAAAGCCAAAACTCTCGACCACTACAGATATACGTCCCCTAACAAAAATCAGTCAAATAGTGGTACCGCATATTACTTACAAAATTTAAGTGTCTGCATTAAATAACCATTCTAATAATAACCCACACCGTATTATGAAACGGTAATATAAATATATGGATGTTGCAATAGTTTAATTTAACTTCAGCAGTTTCTTGATGATTACATTAGAACGTATAAGGTTGCTCAAGTATTAAACCCTGCAAGATTACCAAAGTTGTATAGGTCGATTTGTGTATGATATTTTATACTTAATGCCAACTTTAAATAAAAAATTAAAAGCGAGAATATCCTTTCTTTTCTTTCTTACCTTTCCTATCGCCTTACCTAGTGGATGAGCAAAGCGATAATCATCTCTTATAAACATTACTATGTTTACTATTTATGTAACATGGTACATGTTCTGGGAGACTAAGACTTACCCCATTGAATGAATTAATTTATCTTAAAAACAGAAAAGCTCTACTGCTTGTGTTTTTTCGAATATGTTTATACAATTACTTATTAGATTGTGTAAAGGCAAGTACACAACATAGCAATAAAGTTATTTCTAATTTATTCCAATTCTGAAGTAATTTCATTTAAATAATAAATTATAATTCACAATAGTAGCAATATACATAAGGAAGGTATTGTCTATTAATGTCTACTTGTTTAACAATTGTGTAAATAAATACTTAAGGAAATAAATGTTAGTAATTTTGGTTGTGAATAAATGGAATAAAATCATAATATTATAATTAACACACATAATATTTATTTATACAATTTGGGAGTAATAGCTTTTATTAGCACTGCTGTAGGTACCAGCTGCTTACAAACATTTTTGTTTTAATGTGCTACACTGGTTGCATTTGCAACTATTTGGTGATTTAAATGAGTGACCGTTCAGTGACCGTTTACAACACGGTATTTTTTATTTACTGTATATAGTATTACTTTCGACAACCTATTTTCGCTGTTACGTTGGCTACATCAATAATTTTTCGAGATAAAGATATTTGACTTTGAACTAGTCACGTTCCCGCGTAGCGATAGCATCTCAAGCGTTAAATAAATAGGCTGTAGGTATATGTGACGTCTAGTGTTTCACTTAAATACCCAAGAGATATAACCAATAAACACCTAAATAATGTAGTAGCACTACATTAATTTGATTTAGATAAGAACGAAAAGCTCTACCTATAGTTTCTGAGAAACACGAGAGCTATTCTCATGCTAGATAAAGAAAGCAATATTTAAAACTTAACTAAACTATTTAAAACTTTTTAGAAATCTTGAAGATATTGGTGTTCAAACAAGGCACACTCAATTTAATATAAAATCAATTACATTGGTGCTGATTCTGTTGTTCGAAAACTCTCTAAACTAAACTAAAAATCACTAAAAATAATTTTTGTCCTGTCAAATATTACGTTTTCAGAATAGGAAACGTTTTTTGACGGAACTAAACAAATTTTTAGTGATTTTTAGTTTAGTTTAGAGAGTTTTCGAACAACAGAATTAGCACCATTATTAAGGAAAATAAGGGCTACTTATTTTTGTCTTTGTTTGGTATGCAAACTAAATCGATGTATGTCTTGTTTCATCACTCTCATTTTCTGAATCATAGCGCTATCGACATTTCTAGTCTCTGAATATAGTGACTAGTACTTGAAGTATTATTTCTCCAGGTGCACTTTAGTCCGCGAGCAGCGCGGCTGCTGCCCAACTTAAGGGGACCGATGACTCCTGCAGGAGACTACTCGGGGGTTGTGCGGTTCATGGTCCTTTATAGGGCCCCAGTATGGGCGGGGACCCTGAAGGCCAGCAACGTCGCACTACTCCGACGACCGCAGCGAGTGCTGGCCATCAGGGTCATAAGGGGGGACCGCACGATCTCCTTTGAGGCGGCGAGACTCCTGGCCGGAACTCTACCGTGAGACCTGGAGGCGAGAGCCCTTGCGGCTCTGTTTCAGCGGCGCAAGAAGGCGTGGGAGTTGGGTCGGAGTCCTGAGACTCGAGAAATCGAGGACCGGAAATCCCTAATCGACCGGGTCTTCGTAGAGGAATTGGAGCCGGAGTTTTCTCGCAAGACCTAAATATGAATATATCATTAGCGTTAGGCCAACACAGTTCAATATTCCAATGCGAATGTGTGGCAATAACTTACGCCGCCACAACGGCCATTTCAAAGGGCATTAAGTATTAACTATAACATCCGAATACTGTCAGATAGCATGGCCGTCCTAAAGGCACTAGAGGGCAACTCAATGACTTCTGGTATTGTCTTCGAATGCCATCAAGCATTGAAGTAGGTTGCCACAGTAAATGGGGTATTACTCCAATGGATTATATGGACTGATAGGTCTTAGTAGACTAGATATCAGAATAGTTGTAGGAACCATAACAGAACACCTAGCCCTAAACCGACATCTATTCACCATTAATGCGACGGAGAGTCCTCTTTGCAGAGGATGTTTGAATGCAGAAGAAACGGCCGCCCATGTTATCCTGGAATGCGAGGGTGTGGCCACACAACGGGCAAGTATCATGCCTGATACTTCTGCGCTTCTGGAAGGAGCTCGGTTGGCTCACCTAGCTAACCTGTCCTCGGCGCATAAAGGACCATCTTGAGTCTAAGTGGAGAAACCGGAGTCCACATCCAATACCAATACCTCGTAGAGGAGTGGAAGGAACGACTTGGGCAACCGAGCGCCGGGCACGCCATTATCGCGGCGGTAAGACCCGTTATGGAGGATTGGCTCGAGAGGCGTCACGGGACCCTCTGTCGCAGGTGAACACTGGGAAAGGATGCCCGGCGTGGGTTGAGCAGAGGCGTGACCTCGTGTCGGACATCGGGGTGGGAGTTCTCTCGCTCAGTAACATGATTGTGGCCACGGTGCGGAGCGAGAGCGCGTGAAACTCCGCTGTCTTTTTCTGCGAGCAAGTTATGCTTGCGAAGGAGATAGCGGAGCGGGCCCGGGAGAGGTTTAGAACTCTCCCGGCCCGCCAGGCCCGGGCACGGGCCCGGTACCGCAGACGACTCGGGCGCCAGAGGTCGCAGAAAGACTTCCGTCCTCCATAAGTGCAGGCCTGGGGGTGACAGGTGAGGCCATCTGTCACCCTAGCAGAAGCAGGCCAGGGTGGCGGCGAGACGCGCTGCGCAGCGAGCGCGCCCTTTAGGGAGCACAAAGGGAACATGAGGGTTCCCACACAGGGGGAGGTCATCTACTCGCCGTTGATGGCCCGAGGTACGTCGAGGTACCAGGGACTTCCTTGTTAGGGTACACCTGGTTCCCCGGCTACTGCTACCCGAGACGGCGTGCGGTTTTTAGCCGGTTCGAGTTCGACATAGTAACTGGTAGGTGATATCCGAGGGGATTTATGCACAAAGAAAAAAGAAAGGTGCACTTTAGTCCAGTGTTCGCATAGAGCTCTCACTAATAGTAACAAAATGTGTTTCTGTGTCTTAACCATGTATGTATGTTATCTTCTACCTAATCAATCTGTATTTTAAATGTTTTATAACTGATAATATGCTAAATATTGTAGCAATATTCCACTGTTTATCTTTCTTGTAAATGGTATATGGCGAGAACAATTTTAAGATAATGACGACTATGATTACAAATTCATAATTAGATGTGGTTCCGGCCCGACAATTTTCTTCTTCTTCTTCCAAAACTTAAATCACCATTTGAGACACCTCTTGCCAGCCGATATTGGACATAAAAGTAAATAGGTACGCGAATATCATAAGAGATGATTGTATTCTATATTTAAATGATTGAATAAAAGTATATTATTCCGAAATATTACTACTTTGGAAGCGATACTTTAAATTGGAATGAATAGTATTTTTTTCTTTCATTAACCAATTCCCGGCTCTTCCTTGACATTGACGAATCAACGAACGCCTATTTGATTAAATACGTTACTAAAGGATATATTTCAGAAACTCGGCAAAAATAAAACTAACAATAATCCATATTTATTATTTCCATTATCTTAATATTAGCATTCAGAGCGGGCGTGAGGCTTATGATGAAGCAAAATTCGGCATATAACTTATTTTAGTACAGTGTGTTACTGCCAACATAACATTTAGAACTCCATCCCGATATATAATTATTTAAATCATAGCCGATTTAATTTTTCAAGTATAAAAACATTTGGGCAGCACCTTTGCATAACCAAAGTTGCTTACTTTTCTATTCTCGTCTACCTTAGTAAAACAATTATTGCAAGTCATTCAGAAAGGGAAACCCCATGAGTCACGCTAGATAATTTAGTTGCGTGTTGTTAGCTGTTTTTTTATTATTTCCTGGCGGAGACAGCCGGGAGTGGGGCAATATGTGGAAGTCGACGCCAAGATAAATTGATTTCATTTCAAAGCTCAAAGCTTAGAGGTAATCCTGAACACTGTTAGTCTAAAATAATAAAGAATAACGTAAATGATTTAAAACCCCTTTTAGATCGATATTATGTTATTACGATGATGTGAGAAAATAAGTGAAAGTAAATTTGACTTTAGAAGTTTGACATGCCACAGATCTGTTGTCTGTCGACAGATATGTAGCATGTCGATATGGAACCGGAATGAGAATAATTACCTCATTTATACCATAATATTATAGAGAGAAAAAAGTCATAAAATGTGAGTCTTAATATTCTTATATTTAGATTACGCCAAAATCGTACTGTTTTAGATTTGTCACGCATGTTTGTTTTCATAGATACAATAATTATAGTATTTAGTACGACTTGTTTACACAAATTAACTGACCACGATCAACTATTTGGCAGCTCTCGTGAAAGAGCTGTGTCACCAAGACGTCGTCATAGGAAAACCATTCATTGTACGCATATGTGTCACTCACGCTGTTGCGTGATTAAAAATAACTTTTTAATTGAAAAGACAAGATAAATAGGTCATCATAAATAAATCATTTTTCATCAATGCTTCATTGGTAAAAGTATTGTACCACCACATACATAACAAAACAGCAATAGTCAACAAAAACAGTGGTCTGAAGAACTTTCGTAGTGAAACTCCATTTGGAATACGACGGTTCTTACAACTCAGCATTCTGTGTTATTTAAAAAATTACTTTGCCTTTTACAAGGTGCAAGAAGATTTACGTACCCTACTGCGCCTGTTCCATATATTACATTCCTAGTCGCAGAGATACATTTCTAAGTTATTGTATTTTGAAAATCAAAGTCACTTTGCATAATCTCAAAGGGAAGTATTAATTCCTTTCGACTCTTCTGAATGTGAAGTAAAATCTTAAAGGTTCATTGACGTAAAAATAAATTTTCTTGATACTGATAATTAATTAATTCTACGTTTGACTCTTACTGAATGTGTTAATAAACTGCTGAACAAATTTAAATTGAGGTTTTTAAGCACATGAAATGACTGAA